CCTGGTGATTGGTTACAATCCTCGTCTCTGGATTGGCCAGATATCACTCCTGACAAAGACGCTAGGTGGCGGTATAGACGTACCTCTGAGATATTGGGGAGTCGCTAAACACGACTCCCCAACATCTCAGAGGTAAATATTGTACTTTTTACTGTACTACATCTCAGAGGTAAATATTGTACTTCTTACTCCACTACATCTCAGAGGTAAATATAGTACTTTTTACTGTACTATATTTCAGAGGTAAATATAGTACTTTTTAATCCACTACATCTCAGAGGTAAATATAGTACTTTTTAATCCACTACATCTCAGAGGTAAATATAGTACTTTTTACTCCACTACATCTCAGAGGTAAATATAGTACTTTTTACTCAACTACATCTCAGAGGTAAATATAGTACTTTTTACTACACTACATCTCAGAGGTTAATATAGTACTTTTTACCGTACTACGTTTGAGAGGTAAATAATGTAATTTTTACTCCACTACATCTCAGACGTAAATAATGTACTTTTTACACAATACAAGCCCTTTATTTGCTACCGTCGACAGGCTAACGAACCCTCCAGTGTCGGTAGCTGCTGAGCTCCAATCCACCTGGGCATGCAATCAATTTGCCTCCTTTTTTACTGACAAAATTCAGAAAATTAGACAAGCAGTCAGTGCCTCCACACCAACCACAGGATATGTGTTGTTCCCATCTCTAAATAACATCCATTCAAATATCATGACACAATTTCATTCAATCGACCGTAGAAGCCTAGAAGACATTATACAACATCTGAAGTCATCCTGCTGCTGCTTGGATATTCTACCAACACACTTTTTCAGAAATATTTCAAACTGCATGACCACTGATCTTTTACAAATTGTAAACACATCCCTTCTCTCAGGTGCTTCCCACAAGCCCTAAAAACTGCAGTTATTAAACCGCTCCTAAAGAAGGCTAGTTTAGACTCCGCAACAATGAAAAATTATAGGCCAATATCAAACCTCCCATTTTTAAGTAAAATAATTGAAAAAGCGGTTTTCCAACAGCTGAACAAATTCTTGGCCGTAAATAACTGCTTTGATGTCTTCCAGTCAGGCTTTCGACAGCACCACAGTACTGAAACTGCTCTTGTTAAGGTTTTCAACGACATCCACTTAAACACAGACAATGGCAGAAGTTCAGTCTTAGTATTACTGGATCTCAGTGCTGCATTCGACACGGTCGACCATGCCATACTCCTAGAAAGACTAAAAATCTGGGTGGGACTTTCTGGCACAGCACTTAACTGGTTTGAATCCTACTTGAAGGACAGAGAATACTTTCTGTCTGTAGCTAATTACACATCAGAGCTGACTAAAATGACATGTGGTGTTCCCCAAGGTTCAATACTGAGGCCTCTTCTGTTCAACATCTACATGCTTCCACTAGCTCAGATTATGGAAAACAACAGTGTTATCATAATTATGCAGACGACACACAAATCGACATAACTATGTCACCAGGGGACTATAATCCCATAAAAGGGCTGGGTAACTGCATTGAACAAAACAACTGGATGTGCCAGAATTTTCTTCAATTAACCCTAGCCCTATTTTTAGGCCTCTGCTCGAAAATTGCATACCCATAATCGAGAGTCCCGAGCTCTAACTACAAGGTCTATTTTAATAATTTTGATGCTAGAATACTTTTAACACTTGTGAGATGTGTTGAATTGTGTAAATATTGTGTATATGTTACTGGTTAATAACTGATACACTTATGGCACAGCTCAAAGTGAAAAATTTCTAGGTTCGCCTGAAAAAAAGCACTTGTATTGAACATTTTTTTTGTAAATAATGCAGCTGCAAGCCTAAAAACATACTTCATGCACTTTGTACTTTACTTTCTATTTTATAAAGGGTCCCTTTACTAGTCATGAGGAGTCCACATGTCTTCTGTAGCTCTGGGGGACGTTGGTGTCATCAGGGCTATCTCAGTTTGTACCTGCGTTACAAAGTGGAGGTATGGAGTTTGGAAGACAAAATCTGAATCAGAATCAAAACCGTTTATTGCCATGGTATGTTGAACATACAAGGAATTTGACATGACGGGAGGTGCATACATTTAACAATCAACACAGTGCAAAGTGGAAACATATTACAATTTACAGTAAAATATAAAATACAGTGGACAATCAAACAGATAACAGGCTATAAACAAGTGAGATGTATGTGTAGTGTAAAAGTGTCGAGTGTATTTAAATATGAAGGGATGTGCAGGGGAGTGACCGGTAGGAAATTGTCCTGGGGATGACAGAGTCAGTGGGGGACCCGGGCTCTGTTAATGAGCCCGACTGCGGATGGGAAGAAACTGTTCGTGTGGCGTGAGGTCTTGGTCCTGATGGACCTCAGCCTCCTGCCAGATGGAAGGGGCAAAAAAGGGTTGCATTATGGGAAGTGTAGGATTCAGTATATCTGGAGCTTTTCATGTCTGACACAGATAACAGCCACAGCTTGTCAGTCAGTCTGGATTGGTGAACAGATACTGAACATTACACAGAAAGTTAGTTTAGTGGAGAAGGCACTGTTTACTAACAACAATATTATTGCGATATCGATTGAAAAGTAGGAAGAAAAAAAATACTAATAATCACTTCAGCCAAATCCATTTGATCATTTTTTGGCATATGACTTACACTGGATATACGAGTGTAGGGAGGTGCAGAGAGTCTGTAACCACAACTGACAAATAAAGAGTGACTTAGAGACACTGGATTATTTACACAACATTATGATATGTCTATCATTTACCTGATATCAATATTCAATTTTTTACACATCACGGTCAATAGCGACACCCATGTCTGCAGTAATGCAAGCGGCTGACTCTCCTCAGTGGGTCCAGTTATCATTTCTCTGTGGTTCCTGCTCACCTAGCAACAGAACTGGTCTAGCTTGAGACGAGCAGCTAAAACATTGAACAGCCGAGTGATATTTCTGCTGTACTCATCCCTTCAAATGGCAGCACCAAAGAAAGCTGACCGAAAGTAACGTGAACGTTACATTCACTTCTACAGCACTCGACAAAGTCACTTCAGCTCATGTTTTTAGAGATGTCAGCATGCTTGGTTTCTTCGTTTGTCCCAACTGTTTTGTTGAAGCTTCTTCTGATTTTCACTGGATTGTAGATGAATTTCTTCCAGGAACGTCAGGTAACATTACTGACAGAGACAGAACGTTACTGACTCCATGATGTTCACTAATGGTAGTGCAAACCGATCAAGTGGCTGAATTACCTTCAAAAGAGATGTTTTTGTGGGCAGTGGAGGTCAGGGTTTGCTAATCAGGAGCTAGGCCATATTGTGTTATTCTGCTAGCGCTCGTTGAATAAGTCTTTACTTAAAACAGTCCTAAGTTCATTTGTCCTTTTGTCCGTCTTTCACATTATCATGAAGTTTTGTAAAGTGATCTAATACATTTTGTCATAGTTATTGCTCTCAACGGTAACTTTTTATATAGTTTAAGTCTCTTTTTTGTTGTGAAAGGTCTTTTCTGTTGACTGAACAATGCTGCTCTCTGTCTGCCCACAGCACAGGTACAAAGGGGAGGTGGCCCTGCTCATCTTCACTAATACTAGATTATTATTGAATGATGCAGTTCTATGTGCGGCAACAAAGATGGAGTTTTGCCTGGATCCCCTACAGGGCTTCAGTTCCAGAACGGTCCCCTTCCTTATCTCAGCCTGAGGAGTGGAAGCACCTCTCCACCATGTTACATGACTTTTTGATATGTGATTGCTACATAAAAGGCTGAGACTGACAAGACGATAGATCCGTCTAACACTAACAAATATGTAGGCCTACATGGGGAGAAACAGATGACGTAAAGGAGAAGGGAGTGGGTGGAGGAGAGTGAGGTGTGTGAAACAGAGTCACGGAAAGTTGGTGTGAGGAAAGCTGGGAGGAGACAACAGGTTCTTTATTATTCTGTGCTGAGTTTAGTGTAGCTCAGAGAACCATTAGTCATTATTTATGTTTGGCTATGCAAACCACAGCAGGAAAACCTTGAGACTTGCTGTAATGTGCTGCAAGTCTGATAACCTGATAATCAAAATGCTTAAAACACACGCAGTCCCTTTTCAGGGCCCGCGGCATGAAATTAGAAAAAGCAGAGGGTGAAGGAGTGGCGCCTGTTGAGTTCATTCGAGTCACTTCAATAAAGCAAAACTGCCAGATTTTCCTGGAAAAAAGAGCTCTTCAATTATGCATGACTGTAACTGCGAGACAAGCCTGTTTTTGTTGCATTAGCCAAGGTCTTAAGGAAGGAGCATGCCGGCAGTCAGTGGAGCGCGGTGCCATCAACCGGCAGGGCCTGACGACAGGATGCCACATGAGACAGTTGTCTTGTGTTGGATTGCATTACTGCAGAAATTGAACACTGAAGAAATAGAAAGTGGCTGTGAAAACAATTGACCTCCCCTGACTTCTTAAAAAACACTTAAATGTGGAGTGTGTCTGATCCCCAGTCCGGGGGTCAGACACACTCTCCACATTTAAGAGTAGGCTTAAGACTTTCCTCTTTGATAACATTTATAGTTAGGGCTGGCTCAGGTCTACAGTTCGGGCTGGCTCAGGTTTACAGTTAGGGCTGGTTCAGGTCTACAGTTAGGGCTAGCTCAGGTCTACAGTTAGGGCTAGCTCAGGTCTACAGTTAGGGCTGGCTCAGGTCTACAGTTAGGGCTGGCTCAGGTCTACAGTTAGGGCTGGCTCAGGTCTACAGTTAGGGCTGGCTCAGGTCTATAGTTAGGGCTGGCTCAGGTCTATAGTTAGGGCTGGCTCAGGTCTATAGTTAGGGCTGGCTCAGGTCTATAGTTAGGGCTGGCTCAGGTCTACAGTTAGGGCTGGCTCAGGTCTACAGTTAAGGCTGGTTCAGGTTTACAGTTAGGGCCGGTTCAGGTTTACGGTTAGGGCCGGCTCAGGTCTATAGTTAGGGCTGCTGGCTCAGGTCTATAGTTAGGGCTGCTGGCTCAGGTCTATAGTTAGGGCTGCTGGCTCAGGTTTATAGTTAGGGCTGCTGGCTCAGGTTTATAGTTCGGGCTATAGTTAGTGCTCAGGTAATAAACACAAAAAGACAAATAATGAAACCAAAAAGGTAGCAAAGTACATTGTAGCTACCGGTCGCTGCATCTACATGTGCCGCTATTGCCATGGGGAAAAAAGGGTGATGAGAATAGAGATTTTATTTGATAAAAAAAGTCAATGTTTAGTATAACGTTAACATTTTTCCTCTTTAAGAAACACCGCCTTAACGTGGACAAAGAATGAGCTGCATGACGTCGCCCCAACACTCACTGAGGGAATGTTAGTGCTCTGCAGGTTTCATGCCAATGCCTAGTTCAGCCCTGCTTTACCGCTCACCGACAAAAGCCCAGATCAGAGGAAAAACGGCATTGGCTCGGCGCTCAAACGCAAGTGTGAACTGTTCAAAGACTTACCGATGCGTCGCAGACACATCCCATTCCTGTTTTCCTTAACGACAGATTAGTACACATTAAAATACATTTCTATCCAGAGATAGAATTTCTTTTTCTCAGTTGTCTGTCAGTGCTTCGGTAACTTTCGATATTAACTATATTCTTAAAATCTCAGATTTCTTCTGCCCCAGCAATGGCCCCCAACACTTTTAAGGGGGAAACTGAGCACTCTTGGGGATCGAAGCCATGTCATACAACAGTAAATCTGTAAAGCAATGAGAAATAATGTTCATAATCAAATTCCAACACATTTGTTTATTTAACTTATCATTGACCATCCAATGGGGCCATTTAATTGGTCAGTATTTACTGTATGCTATCTTTCTGCTTTAAAAACTAATGAAAACAATTAGATTTCTACAGAAAGTTAGCAGACTTTTTGTTACAAATTTTACTCTCAATATGTACATATTCACCCCCACTAATCCACTAAACAGTAAGACTAACTGCAGCTCCACTGCTGCTGAGATGAGGGTCTCTTTGAAAATACACTTCTGATTGTTAAACAAGTTAAGAGAACCACCTTCCCACATAAAGGAGAAAAAACATACCATGATAAAACGGAGAATTAATAAACTGAGCAGTAACCAAAATAAATATTCTGCTTACCCCCACCATCACTGCCTCCCGTTTACTAGTGCAGGTTGTGTCCATCACTTTTTCATTTCAACAACCGATCCTTTTTGCGTGACTGCATCCGATGGAACGTTAGCTAACAGTGCTAGAACCCGTTTGCCTACCAGATGATGTGTTCGGATGACCGAATAAAGCATTTCAATTTGACTATTTTTATTTTTGTGAATTCTTGAGCACATTGAGAAATAAAAATGAACAGCTGTGTATAACCCAAAAATATTGGTTTTAAATGTAATCTAACCATTTGTCAGTACTGCCCACTAGATGGCGTTCTGAGGCCAACCATTGGTTGAGAATCGAGCAGTGCTGGGAAGTTGTATTTTTGTTGTTTCGTTAGAATGTCTCCAGCTCGTGTTTACCACGGACCTTATTTCAGACATCCAACCAAAAACACACAAAAAGAACCATAGACGTCGAGACGAGCGAACCGGAGGTGCAAAAATGCCGACTCATGTCTGGGTTTTAGGACTCATTCAGGACCTATAGCATGTGTACAGCATGTCTGCAGTCCTGGATGGATGTCAGCAGTGTCTCTCAGCCAGACTGGAGGAGCTGCTCCTGGAGGGATCTTCTGTGTGTTTTCTCTCTACTTGTTCTTGCCGAGTGTTCTCTGCTTCTCTGCATGCTCCACTATCTTCTCCTCTACGTAGAGGCCTTTGCGGCGGCGGACAGCATTCATGTATTTCAGGGACTGGTTTGCAGAGTCGGCTTTCTCCCCGAAGTGCAGGTATTCTTCCTCTGTGGTGGGAACCCAGTATGGATCACTGCTGATCACCTGGAGGACAGAGAGCAGAGGGATAGAATATAGCCATGTTGGTCCTTTTTGGTTGATTGTAGTCAAGTTTAACAACTTGTGACACAGAGTTTATTCTCGCTACGACGGGTGTAATGCAAAGCTTTGTACGCTCTGTTCTGGTTTATGCCACAAACGGCTGCTTTTGGATTATAGCAAAGGTGGCTGTTAGATTGTGTCTAGTCTTGTTCATGTTCTTCATTTAATTGTTTATTACTGCCATTCTCTCTCTCTCACACACACACACACACACACACACACACACACACACACACACACAC